TAAGTTCATTACTCACAGTCATCTGACAGAAAACTACCTTTCCAAACGGGAAGTTTCTGTAACTATCATTTTTACCATCAAATGAACTCTTTCATACTTGCAGCTTTTTGCAAGTGTCCTTCTCTCTTAAACTCTCCTCCTGTTCCTTGTTCTCAACTGATTTTTGCAGGTTCTTCCATTTTTAGATTAAATGTCACATTCTCTGTGACTTTCAATTCCACAACAATTCTTCTTTCTGTAGAATTTTGAAGTTAACTTAATCATAATGGTGCTTAACACATTCTGCTATGATTATCTCCCTCTTATATAAATTATGTAACTTTTGCAGATAGAAGGATGGCCTCTTTCGACTTTTTATCACCAGCACTAAACCTATTCAATGTGCAGAACAGACAAGAGCTCAAAAAAGACTGCTAAATTAAAGTGGAAAGAAATATGAGTAATTTTGTTGCTGCTTATAGTAGAAGCAAGGATCTCCCACAGACAACTTTTTTGATCCCCCTCTATGTAAACATCTATTAATTTCTCATTGAATAAATATTATTGAAAATATAAGTACATGAAGGACTTCATCAAACAAGAAAAATACTAAATATTTTCTTTTTGTTTATTTTATTTTCTAAACTTCTAACTTTATTCCCTTAACAAAATTAGTTATTTCTATATTACTAATACACTTTTATTTTTTTCCACTTTTAACAGTTCTAGTTTCACACTTTGAATCTAACATGTTATTATAAATAAATAATTTTCTTTAAACAAAAATCAATGCCCTGAATACCTGTGACATTTTCAGACATTTCTGCTGCTAACAGAAAGGTTACAAAACCTAATAAGACAGTGACTTGTCCTGGAGAAATTCAGTTTATCGAAGAAGACAGACAAGTCAAAAACAACTAACTCTTAAAGGCTATGTCTTACAATATAAGTATGAAAGCCCAGAAGAGAACAAAGAAATGAAACAATTTGGGAATGTCTCAGAATTTAATTAATAAAAATAATGTAAAATTAGTTTATTTAAGTCTTTTTTATCTTCTCCTTTTTTCTGCATGTTTAATTTGCTTAATTAATAACTAATACTTATTGGCATTCTTACATACCAGGCATCATTCTAAATGCTTTGTATGTATAAAAACATTTGGCTCTCTCATCAGCCTTCTGTCTATGCATTGCAATTGTCTTATTTTACAGCTGGAAACCAAAGCAAAGCAAAGTCCTTATTCTCAGGATTGAGAAATTGCTAGCAGCAGAGTTGGGTTTTGTATTTTGTAGACTGAATTCACAGACTTAGTTCCTAACAGCCATGCACAGTGTTTCTAAGTATTCCATATCCTGAATTTGTTCCTGTTATTTTATCCAAATCTTAGAACCTCAAATGTTCTCTAGAATACTTCTCTTTGTCATCCTAATGGCGACAAATTTTGGTCTATGCCGGTTTATACCCCCACGCTTGAAGAAGAAAAGATTAGTTGTGCCTCTTTTGCATTTTACAGAGCCAGTAAAATGGCAAAGCCTTTGTGAATGTAGATTTGTTAGATGGGTGAAACAAAAAGAATGCTGTATACAGAAATTAACAACTGTGTTCTGTATTCCCTTGTCCTTGCTTCAGCATCATAGAGCAAGTGATTTTTAGATTGCTTCAGGAATAACTTGCCTAAGATTGTTCACAAAACCTATCCAACACATTCCTGACCACCACTTAAATAAGGCTTATTTCTGATTTCGAAACAAAATTTCCAGTGTCACAGATCAGAAAAAGATAGACTCATATAAAAATCAGTGAGTCTTTACTATGATACTCATGAAAAATATCCTAAGTTGTTTATTCTTTGTTTGTTCCACAAACTCTTTCACTTAATGTCTTTTATAAACATTTTATGATGTTAAATACAGGAAGTAAAAAAATCAGTCAAGATGTATCTTAAATAAAAATGTAAACCTCCTCTGGAATAAATCTACCATAAGCAAAGTCAAGAGTAAAACAACAAATTAAGAAAAATTACTTGAGACATTGCTATAGTTTGAATCTCAAATTTCTCCTAAAGGTCCATGTGTTAAAGGCTTGGTCCCCAGGGTGGCGCCATTGGGAAACCAAGAATCTTTAAAAGGTGGGTTTAGTGGCAGGTCTTTGGGTCATTGGTGGTGTGAACGCAAAGGGACTATGGAACCCTGATCTCTTCCTCTTTCTCTCTTTCACTCCCTGGCATGGCACAAGCAAGTGGTTCTGCTCCATCACACACTTCTGCCATGCTGCACCACCCTGACACAGGCCCAAAGCTACAGGCCAATCAGCCATGGCCTGAAATATGAAAACTAAGAATCAAAATAACCCTTTTTTCTTTATAAATTTATTATCATGAAAAGTAGACTAACACAGAAAACAGACTTGATAAAGGCTAACGTTTATAATACATAAAAAGCTTTCAACAGTCAATAAGAAAAAGATCCTCATGGATTACCAAGAAGGAGAAAGACTTCCTTACCCCAAACAGAGGGAGCAACAGGGTACCCTACAAAAACTGATCTACCCATGGAACCATGCCTTGCAGGTGCTGGATGTCTGCTCACATGGTTTGAGTGGATTGGAAGGAGTCATCCAGCTAAGAAAGGATAAAAACTAAACTAAGACAGGGGTACAAGCTCTACCTACAAGAAGGTGGAATTGAGAGATACCAAGATTTTGGTCACTTTATGGGTGTGGGAGTATCACCAAAGCTCTTAGATGGCTCCCAAATTTTTGACTGGGAAAACTGGATGATGATAGGACTACCCTTCATATAATGAACAAAAGGCAGCATTGCTTAGAAATTTGATTCTTAAGCCAGAACTCCTGAGTTTTAATCCAGGCAATATAGCACATTACTCCTGTGGCCCTGGCCAAGTTACCTAATTTCTCTTTGCCTTAGTTTCCTCATCTCTAAAATAGAAATAATGATAGTACCTACTTCATAGCATTGATAGAAGGAGCAAATGAGCTATTATCTTAGCATCAAAATACCTAGAACAGTGCCTGGCATAAGGCAAGTGTTCTATGAATGTCAGATTATTCACATTATTATTTCAAGGTATTTGAAGTCCATATCTCTGCTGAAAACTCAGTAGTGATTTCACATGCCCAGACCTATCCTCAAGACCACAGACAACGTGATAAAAGCTTCTGATTCTCTCAGAAGGAAACTGTGGCTCAGCTGGAATTTGTTCTGGCTCAGTCAAGGTAAATGCACAGTCAACACATATCTTCCTTTGTGTTTCATCATGTATCTTAGAGGCAAGAAGCACCAATACTCCCTTACACCACCTCTCTGCCTTATGTGGCATAGGATGTCTTAATTACCATGTGAACATTGTTTGTTTGTTCCGTAATCTTCCTCGTGCTTTTCCCTGTCCTCTCTCTTTCATAGCATGAACACCAACTCAAGCTTTTCTTCCTTCACTACTTCAAGCACAGCATTCTTTCCCTTTTGACCTCAGAACAATTAGAACTTGTATTCAGCCAACCATTCTTAAATGGACGTATCTTTTGTTTCATATCTTGTATTTTCCTAACTAAGTACTTTTTTATAAACTTGGAATTTGGTAGTGGGGATAATCATCTTATACTACTTTGCTACTTCTGTGGTTGTTTTTTACAGCATAATGCACAGCAGACATTTCCATTGGTTGAATAATAATTGGAGCTTCCTGCAATGGAGAGGAAAATGATGATCATTGTAAGGCAGGATGAGATGCAATTGAATGTTCCAGAATTAAATGTATCCTCCCAATGAAACAAGAGGAGCAAGGGAGCATGAAGTGTACTTGCTATGTCACAAGTAATAAAGTCATGTGTCTCTGACCCAGTAACTTTGTGTCTTTTGCTACCTGTCTGTCTGTGGCAGTCTTAACTTGTTAACCTGCAAGTACAGTAATTGCTCAGATTTTCATACTTCTTGGTAATAACTTCCCCATGCCTCAGTTTCCCTAGATGTAAATTGGAAGGAAGGCATCTACCTCATAAAGCAAATATGCTAATTAAACAGAAGAATGAGATGTGCATAAGCAATGCACAAAGCCAGTGGAAGCTTCTTAATTCAACTCTTGGAACCCTCTTCACAGAGGCAATGTCTGGTGACTGCTGACTGCCTCCTCCCTCACTCAAATTGTGTGTACCATAGCTCAGTCCTCTCTGACCACTCTGTACCACCAACACCATGGTCATTCCTCTCCCTCATTGTAACTCTATTCCCTAGACTGTGACTCTCAACTAAGCTGGTTTTCTCCCTACATTTTTGTCCCTTTCTAGTTCCTGCTAGTCACACATACAAGAAAAGAACTAACAGCAAAAGAAGGTTTTGCAAATCTCCTAAAAACAGAGCTAAATTTCCACAAGATAGTACTTCACAATACAGTAACAGAAAGCCAGTTTTTCAAAAACGGGGGAAGGGAAAGACACTAATCAGAATGAGGACGTGGAGAGAGTCGTGAGACCTTTATCAGGAGAGTCACAGGAAGCATATAAGATATCAAGAGTCGCTCAGTTATGCAGCTGGTGAACATTTATTACTGTTCAATGACTTATCTTAATAAAAAATGCAAAAGAAAATAAGGAAAATGACAGCTGTAAGGTATAGGGCCAAGTGACCATTAAAAAACCGTGCAGGATGATGGAAGGAAGACAAATCTTAACCAAAAACAAGTGCCATAGAATCCGAGCTCCACCTCTAACTTATCCTCTAGGATAAGACAATGCCCCATAGCTCAATAAACTGATGGGCATGACCACAACAGGCGGGACAAAATTACTTCTTCAGAAACTAATAAAAAGACTGAAACACATTTATGATTACTTCCCAAAGAATATAAGATTTTACAGCATGCATACTATACCTGCCAAATACAACATTGTAGAACTTAAACTCTGGCTTCATAAAAACTCCAGGTGCTGAAAATTCCTTAGGACTGTGCTTACAAAACTCCCAGGTCAATCTTAGATAATGACTTACTTGACCTCATAAACTTACCTGTAACAAAAAATCAAAGAGAGCCATCTTGGACCACTCATGGTGATGTACTGCAGTGCAGCCCCACTCAGGTTTGGGGACTCGGCCATTCAGCCAGCACTCTGTTTCAACAATTGCTGATAAGTTCCCCAGGTGATCTTAACCGAAGAGTGGGTATCATTGCTTGCTGGAGCTAAAGATGAGTCCCAGAGAATGACAGGACACGGGCGGCCATCTACAGAATCAGAAAAACAAGCGTTTTCAGCGTGCAATTGCTGCATACTCCACATGTGCCGTGGGCTGCTCAGTCACTCCGTCACAGCCCCACTGTCTGATGTGAGAGACTGATTAACCACATTTCATGGTCCTCTTGTCTTTTGAAGTTTTAATCCCTAAGTGACAGTTTCTGCTATAAGTCTTACAAAGTAGAAATTACTGTAGACAATGAAAAAACTGTTTTAAACAAGGCACTTTATAGTTGTGGCAGGAATAGGCTACTAACCACGAGTAACAACGTCCTCTAGTTAATGTGGTTTCATTCCACATCTAAAAGCAGTCACCACAAAAAAGGAAAGAATCCAGACATTTATAATTGTCTATTCAACGTCTGAGTGGAGCTGCTCTCTATTTGTAATAACAACTGTCTGATTTTCTGAGGCCACATTAGGCTGTCAGGAAGAAAAAGAATTTTTAGAAGTCACAAATTTCAAAGAGAAATTGTATGGTTTACACCAATCACTGTAGTCTCCAAAGAAGGAAACCAGCGCAAGACTTTTGTTTTTTCCTTTTTCAGATAGACCATGTAAGCACAACAGTGCTTGTGGGAATGGATCACTATCTCACAAAGTATATTTAAGTAAAACGTCACTTCTTCAACAGCATGTGTGTATAGATACTTTTAAAATCTGTCACTCAAGTTGTTTTTGTGTCACTTACTCTTGATAGTTTAGAAATGCAATTTCTTTTATTGCTAAACTGTATAAAGAGTGATAAGCCTGAGTGAAGTCATCCTGAACAGGAAAACCATGATGTGACCCATTGAACAACACTTCAGGCTTAAAACCAATAACATCCCTCTCAAGCCCCCATTTCTGCCAAATAAAAGCACAGAGAGATGGTGCTGAACAGCCTTGCTTATAACTCAAAAACTGGTGTGATGCTCTTGAAAAAACAATCCAACTAAATTACAAAGATCTGAAAGGCCCACTTAACTCATTCTGAGCAAGTCTGAACAATACAGGCCTCTGAAATTACAACTGGAATGTCCAGACATGTCCCAGGAATTTTTAAAAGCCCTTGTAAAAAGGCTCAGATGTTCTCAACCCACAGCCTTCTTCAGTGTTTCTAGAAACCTTTATTTCACCACCGCTCTTGCTAGCCTCCTTGTGGATCTCTTATCTATAGGAAACAGTTATCCATCCTAACCATTCTCGAGTCTGGTGTCACACTAACCCTGTTAATTTTAATGACATTCATTTAATCACACTAATCACCTTCATTCCAGTTTTGTTCTCTCTTTCACCTTGCAATGCGAACCAGGGCAAGTGGGAAGTCCTGTGGGTTATGCAAAATATGCCATAGTCACTGACACACAATTAATAGAAAAATAGGGAAAGCAGCATGAACCAGCACCAAAGAACTTTATTTGTACCATTAACTCCCTCCTTTCTATTTTTTTTTCTTTACTAAATGATCTGAAATTGCTGGGACCTGATTATTTTCTTAGATATAAGATCATAATAAATGTGTATATCCCCATACTATGACATTAAAAAGAAAGGAAATAAATCCAGGTACAAACCAGTCTATCATGTGGTGAGCCAGATTTGAACAGAAACACCACACAGCTTCCAAAGACATGTGCTTCAGACATCTGAAGATAAACACCAAGAAGCTACCGACAGTGTCTTGGGCCAAAGTTTGCACTCTCAGGACTAGGAAATATTAAAAGGGGGTTGGCACCTAATACTGAATTCAATGACACAAGTCAATGCAGGGGACAGACAAGACATCACTGCTTCCTTGGCAATTCACACAGGCCCTTAGAGAAACAAAGAAATTATTCTACAAAAGCAATCAAAACCTCCTGGGTTATATTCCCATTCCCTTAGAAACATTTGTTTCTTATTGTAAAACTAATTAAAAGTAAATTCTCTCATTTTAGGAAACAGTGTAAAAGCATAAAAACATATAGCTAAAAAAAGCAAAATCATCAATACCCCAGTAATTAGTTCGTTATTTGTATGTTTGCCTCCAGTATTTTCTTATCCCTTTTATTCTCAGCTGAATATGTAAATGGCTTTAGAAATCTAAGAAAAGACTACTCTCACTTATGGTTAGAGTTTGGATTATGGAACCCAACATGACCTTTTGAATTCTGGTTGCATTGCTCAGCTTAGTAACAATAGACAAGTTCTAAACCTTTCTTTGTTCCTCTGTAAAACGGGCATGATCCTGTGTACTACCTTCCCAAACTGACACTGCTAGGATTAAATAAGGTCATGCACTCAAAATTCTCTCCTCAAACTCTTATCTTTACAATGAAAACATGCAGTAAGCATGCATGGAAGCATGCAGTAAGTGACTTATCTGTGGTCACCCTACTGTGCAACAGCAGACATATGTGTTGAACTCGATTTAAACATTACACAATGTCCAAATACATCAAAACATCACATAGCACACCAGTTAACATGCAAAATTTTTATGTTTTCATGTATCAGTTAGTAAAGAGAGAAAAATATAAAAACAAACAAATAAATAAAACTCTCAACCTGGTGCCTAACGTAAACACATGCTCCAGAAGTGTTTGGCAATGACGATTAGGACACAGATAATAAAAAGATCACACAGTGCATCAGTCTTCAGCTGACCTTAATTGCCTAGCAACCATGTACTATGTACAAGCTAGAACCTGAAGCTAAATGCATAAATAAATAAATGTCAATTTCTTTTCCTTTTTTTTTTGCTTTCATTCATGGAGCTTGCATTTCTATCAGAACAAAGCAAAAAATTATACAAATAAAAACTCTTCAGGATCATCTTGTATATGTAATTTGCCATAATTGTATCATAAACATTTAAGTACCACCACTGTGGTTGTGATGCTATAAAGCCATAACGCCTCCATCACAGACATTTAACCATGCAACTGTCGTTCCATGTCGTCACTGTGGTATAAAAGCAGTTGCAGATAATAACAGTTGGTCAACACTGTCCCAATAAAATTTTATTATGAGCACTGAAATTTGGATTTCATGTGACTTTCAAGTGTCGACCATTTAAAATTGTAGTTCGCAGACTGCTAGGGGCCATCTTTGGCCCACAGATAGTAACCCATACAAGGCTATGAGCTTACTGTCTTTCCCCTACCATTTCTCTATTTTAGATCACCAAACTGTTTGAATGACACATTTTCTACACTAGTAATTAAAATGTTATCCTCAAATTGCAAAAAGTGGCATTCAGCTGATAGGTATAACTGGTTTTGAATTAGCATCCTGTGGTTTTCTCCATAGCCATCCAGCAAAATATTCTGAAGGCTGCTGACTATGGAAAGACACTGTTTCCTGCCAAACAAAAATTCATGGATGTGTAACAGGAAATAGGATTCCCAGAGAGCAGAGGAAAGCAAGTAAGTGTCATGCTCAGACTAAGCTGTGTGTGTCTGGGCCTCCTTCAGGTTCCTTTCCAGGACTTCTTGCCACGTCTGAGTGTGTGCAGCCTTGCATATGGTGATAGCAGTCACCGAGACTCCAGAACTCAGAGAAATGATTACCAGTCTGAGGAGAATCCCACTTCTTATAAAATATGGTTTTTAAAAGAATTAAATGAACTTTGATAGATCAGAAGTGATGACAGACAAAATAACCTCTGAACACAGGCGCTCAGTTGGAGCAACTTACCCTGAAGTGTTTCAGAAATGAGGGACATTCCTCTCGTCACATTCTGCTTTATCAAAATGATGCAGTACTCTACTCTCCAGAGAAATTTTAGCAGTGAAAAGATAAAATTCTGTCAGACTGGTGAGAAAGCAGGTTTTAAAAGATATGTGGGTGTTCATGTGAATTAAAGGTTACACAATTGTATTAGAAAATAAGACTTGCCAGTAAACTTGTTTTTTCCCCAATATCTGAATATTTCTCCTGAATCTTGAGGTTAAGCAAGTCATTCTTTATTCAAAAGCACAAAGAAGACATTCTTCTGAGAAGATGAACATGAAAATATACCAAGAATGCATGCTTTACAAAATCTCCTTTGTCTAGATTTATTAAGTACCCTTCACTCTGAACCACAGCCGACTAGTTTTGTTTAACTATAGGTGAATGCTAAGCATGTTGGGTAGAGTGTGAATGTCAGTCTGTATTTGTCACTGAGCAAAAATAAATAAGATTATTCTGAGCTCTGCAATCAAAAGTTCTTTCTATTACATGGGCCAACTTCCAAGACTCCATGTGAATAAGACACAACAGAAGTGACAGTCTAGCTCAGAGGCCTTCATTAAAAACAACTCTACAAAACTCTGTGTGGAAACAAAGGCCGGTCAAAGTTTGTGGAGCGTCTTTGTTGCAGGAAACAGATTCTTTTGGACTCCATCACAACTGTCAGCAAGGCATTAACAGAACACATTCATGCTGCAGTTCTCCCATGCAAAGGCAACTGCGAATGCTCATGCAGTTCCAATGATATTGGAGCAAGTGTCTAGGTATTAATTACTTCTGCTCTAATTTTCTTCAGTGCTCATCACAGTATGATTTGGGCCATTAAAATACATTAGGCTGAGGTGAAAAGGCAGGTAAAATATCCTGGCTTGAAGTGGATGAATATGAGGAAAACAGGGAAGAACAAGATGCAGAAGTTGTGACGACCTCCAAGGAGGACTGAGTTTGAAGAATTAGATGAAATTTTACATATGCTCAGGATTTTAGATATTAATTCACTTTATTCATTAAACTAGTGTTTAAAGGTACCCCTTACTATCTGGACTATTTGGTTCCTGAGATTTGGATAGAAAGGATTTAGAGTGATGTGTACTAAAGATGGAGGCTTTCTAAGGCCCCGGTCCCAGGCAAGAGCCGAATCTGACAGGTCTTAGTGTTCAGTAGAAACAGACTAACACACGTGTGTGTTTGCCAGGTGAACAAATATTTCAAAGGGAGTGGTGAAGAACTGAAGACTGAGCTCTAGGCATGAAACAAAGGGATTAAGAAATGCTGTACCTCCAGAAGGTGGTTA